TGATAAGCAACTTCAGCAAAGTCTCAGGATACAAAATCAGTGTGCAAAAATCAAAATCATTCCTATGCACCAATAACAGACTTAAAGAGAGCCAAATCGAGAACCAACTGCCATTCACAATTGCTACAAAGAGAATAAAATACCTAGGAATACAACTAGCAAGGAATGTAAAGGACCTCTTCAAGGAGAACTACAAGCCACTGCTCAACGAAATAAGAGAGGACACAGATGGAGAAACATTCCATGTTCATGGTTAGGAAGAATCAATATTGTGAAAATGGCCATACTGCCCAAAGTAATTTACAGATTCAATGCTATCCCCATCAAGCTACCATTGACCTTCTTCACAGAACTGGAAAAAACCACCTTAAACTTCATATGGAACCAAAAGAGAGCCCGCATAGCCAAGTCAATTCTAAGCAAAAAGAACAAAGCGGGAGGCATCACACTACCGGACTTCAAACTCTACTACAAGGTAATCAAAACAGCATGGTACTGTACCAAAACAGAGATATAGACCAATGGAACAGAACAGAGGTCTCAGATGCAACAGAACATATCTACAACCATCCGATCTTTTCCAAACCTGACAAAAACAAGCAATGGGGAAAGGATTGTTTCCCAACACCTGTTTAATAAATCATGTTGGGAAAACTGGCTAGCCATGTGTAGAAAGCAGATACTGGATTCCTTCCTGACACCTTACACTAAAATTAACTTCAGGTGGATTGAAGACTTAAACATCAGACCTAACACCATAAAAACCCTAGAAGAAAATCTAGGCAAAAGCATTCAGGACATAGGCATAGGCAAGGACTTCATGACCAAAAACACCAAAGCATTGGCAACAAAAGCCAAAATAGATAAATGGGACCTAATCAAACTCCACAGCTTCTGCATGGCCAAACTCCACAGCTTCTGCACGGCAAAAGAAACAGTCATTAGAGTGAATCAGCAGCCAAAAGAATGGAAAAAATTTTTGCAGTCTACCCATCTGACAAAGGGCTGATATCCAGAATTTACAAGGAACTAAAACAGATTTACAAGAAAAAAACAAGCCCATTCAAAAGTGGGCAAAGCATATGAACAGACACTTTGCAAAAGAAGACATACATGAGGCCAACAAACATGAAAAAATGCTCATCATCACTGGCCATTAGAGAAATGCAAATCAAAACTACATTGAGATACCATCTCACACCAGTTCCAATGGTGATCATTAAAAAATATAGAGACAACAGATGCTGGAGAGGATGTGGAGAAATAGGAACACTTTTACACTGTTGGGAGTGTAAATTAGTTCAGCCATTGTGGAGGACAGTGTGGCAATTCCTTAAGGACCTAGAAATAGAAATTCCATTTGACCCAGCAATCCCATTACTGGGTATATATCGAAAAGATTATAAATTGTTCTACTATAAGGACACATGCACACAAATGTTCATTGCAGCACTGTTTACAATAGCAAAGACCTGGAACCAACCCAAATGCCCATCGATGATAGACTGGACAGGGAAAATGTGGCACATATACACCATGGAATATTATGCAGCCATCAAAAACGATGAGTTCATGTTCTTTGTAGGGACATGGATGAACCTGGAACCATCATTCTCAGCAAACTGACACAAGAGCAGAAAATCAAACACCGCATGTTCTCATTCATAGGTGGGTGTTGAACAATGAGAACACGTGGACACAGGGAGGGGAGCACTACACCCTGGGGTCTGTTGGGGGGAAATAGGGGAGGGACAGCGGGGAGTGGGGAGTTGGGGAGAGATAGCATGGGGAGAAATGCCAGATATAGGTGAAGGAGAGGAAGGCAGCAAATCACACTGCCATGTGTGTACTTATGCAACAATCTTGCATGTTCTTCACATGTACCCCAAAACCTAAAACGCAATAAAAAAATTTATATTACCCTGAAATATGAATAGAATTGTTTAAAATTTCCTTAGTTGCCCAAATAAAACCTAGAAACATCACTTTTATTTATTTTTTTGAGACGGAGTCTTGCTGTATTACCCAGGCTGGAGTGCAGTAGTGCAATCTCGGCTCATGGCAACCCTCACCTCCCAAGTTCAAGCAATTCTGCTGGGTCAGGCTCCCAAGTAGCTGGGACTACAGGTACGTACCACCATGCCTGACTAATTTTTCTATTTTTAGTAGAGACAAGTGTTTCACCACATTGGCCAGGCTGGTCCGAACTCCTGACCTCAGGTGATCTGCCCCCTTGGCCTCCCAAAGTGCTGGGATTGCAGGTGTGAGCCACCATGCCCAACCAAAATCCATTCTTAAAAATTGGCCCTGAGATTACTGAGTCTACAACTAACTGTTGTGATTATGAAGACCTGAGAACAGAAAGGTATAATGAGATGCAAGTTATAAAGAGACTAGAGCTTTGGTTTGGTTTGGTTTTTAAAATGCTTTTGCCCTAGAATGGGTGGCAGTACAGTGTCTTAGAGCAGAGACATAACCCTGAAAATAGATAAGGTATATGTAATACCTGACTGTTGAATCTTGTAGGTGTCTCAGATCCTCAGTCAAGGAGTGTGTCACTTCCAGGTAGTGCTCACAGGCATTGTCCTAGGTGCTTAGGGTACATTAGTGAACAAATCAAAAATCCCTGCCCTGTAGAGCCTGCATTCTAGTGGGGAACACCAATGATGTCCACCAGATAGAGACAATACCTAGGTTTGACTATCAGGTTACATTTGAATGAGCACTTCTTGGCATATTGAGTCTTTCCCTGCCCTTCCTACCTTGAAATACCACCTTGTGGGTTGAGAAGTGTCTCATGAATCTAAATCTAGCTTTATTTGAAAAGAAAGGCCCAGATAGTCCCACAGGGTCTACCTCTGTGGTGCATTGTAGCCAAATTTCTGACATTGATGGGGGGTGGGTGGGAAAAAAAGCTTTCAAATTATCTCCTCTCCTGGCAAGGACCCTAAATGCAATGAAAGAGCCATTACTTATCAGAATTTCAGTAGAACCAATCTACAACAAAACATTGAATAAATCTTGGGGCATGCTGAGAGCTGTGCCACATTAGGAGAATGGAGGCCACTCGGTATTCCTGGTGAGATGGGCTTAGTACAGAAATGAGGAGCTAACAAAGGTCAGGGATGTTCCCGCAGGTCAAGAAAGCCAACGCAAATCTCAGCTAAAAGTTCCAAAGTTCTCAAGGGCTTGCCTGGAAGCTATTAGAATTCTAGCCAAGAGGCTGCTGTGAAATCTATTTTCCCATAATGTGGCTGTAGTGTCTCCAAGGAAAAATGGCTTCTCTTTTTCCTAATGCCAAATTTAATCAGTTTGGTATTAGGGAGAAAAAAAGTTTCCTGTGAGTGCCTAGCAAATCCTAGGGGAAGGGGTTTCTGGGAAATGTAGTTCCTTCCTGGCATCCCGGCAATGAAGAAAAGCCCTTAGAAGTTGAGGAGGGGGTGGTTGTATTGATGCCAGATTGACAGCAGACAATCCAGTTTATGTACTTCCTCTAATTCTCCAAGAGTTCTTCCTGGAGAGCCCTCAAATCTCCTTCCCAATGTCGATGTCCTGCGCTCACACATCCCAGATGCTGGCCTGTGAACTACAACAGGCTACCTTTGCAGTCTTACCATGTCCTCCAAAGCCAAACTGTAAGCTAAATATGCAGGGCTGGGCTGGTCATATTTCAACAATGTGTCTTCCTAAGGTGGCTTTGCTCAGGTCTTAGCTCTTATGGATAAAACTTTTGATAGGGAATTGGGCAGTAAGTAGCATCATAGACATTAGATGACCTGATTAACTGAGTCCACTCTGATACTTTCAAAAGCTGGACAATCTGAAGTAGCTTGGGGGCTGAAGAAGGGCTTCATCTGGGCAGCATTTGCCATACTCTTTCCTCTCTGGGCACCAGCCCTAGCTGTTCTCAGTTCCCGAGTAGACAGGGCATTTCTGTCAGCTAAGGGAATTCAAACACAACCCAAAGGACAGCGAACCCCTAGGATTTCTCAGACTTCTCACGTGAACTTTTCTGTCTTGATTTCAAGCACTTACCCTTTGAAGGCAGAAAATGCAACAGAGTTGTTCAGTCTTTCCGAAGGGGAAGGGGAAGTGGGAAGGAGGTGGTGCCGGCATTAGGCAGAGTCACACCAAGGTCTGAGTCCTCTCTAAGCATCAGTTTTTTCATTTATAAATGGAGATAATTAGCTCTTCCCTCAGAGTTAATCTAGGATTAAATGACAATTTTAAAAGTGCCCAGCTCACTGCCTGCTATTAATGTATACATTGCCTGATATATGTTAATGTGTTAAAATATTATTTTCACAGCCGTCTGGATCTATCTTTGAAAAGGATGAGCTTTGGCCAGGCACAGTGGCTCATGCCTCTAATCCCAGCACTTTGGGAGGCTGAGGCGGGTGGAGCACCTGAGGTCAGGAGCTTAAGACCAGCCTGACCAACATAGAGAAGCACAAAAAATACAAAATTAGCCAGGTGTGGTGGCACGCCTGTAATCCCAGCTACTCAGGAGGCTGAGGCAGGAGAATCGCTTGAATCCGGGAGGCGAAGGTTTCAGTGAGTTGAGATCGCATCATTGCACTCTAGCCTGGGCAACAAGAGTGAAACTCCATCTCAAAAAAAAAAAAAAAAAAAAAAAAAAGAGTTTCATCTGAGCTTTATCTTTCCATAAGGACCTACGAAGTGATGAAGAGTCCCTTTCACAAAAAGTACCTGGAGCTGCCTTATGTGGAGTTGGAAGGTTCGCCTTTACTTAGGAAGGAGACAGGAGATAAATGAAAGTTGAGAGATGCTGCAGATGATGAAATGCCACCTGGAGAGAAGCTGGTTGGTTGGATTCTGTGGGAGATTTTCCATTGGGCTTGAATGCATTGCACCCGGACTCTGACTTGGAGCGGAACCCAGATGGAACTCAAAGTGCTCAATCCTTCAGTGTCCTCAAAGGGAGAGCCTTGACCACACTTATTTTTTCTGTTTTTTGAGGTTTTTAAAAACTTTTTTATTGAGGTCTAACAAAATACAGTTAAGTGCACAGCTCACTGAATTTTTACATATGAATACATTTGTGAAACTACTGCCCAGATCAAAATCAGTAACATTTCTTTTCCACCAGAGGGCTCCCATGGGCCCCTACAGAATCAATCCCCCACCACCTGGAAGTAATCACTATTCCAACTTGGGTCACCATCAGTTAATCTTGCCCGTGCTTGAACTCTGCAGACATGGACCTTCTGCCTGGCTTTTTTCATTCAACTTTTAGGTCTGTGACGTTTACCCGTATTGTCACATGTATCCGTAATTTAAATTTTTTCATTATATGAATGTACCACAATGTGTTAATTCATCCTACCGTCAATGTATAGTTTGGGGCTATTATGAATAAAGCTGCTATGAATATTCTTACAATATCTTTTGGTGAGCATCTCTGCTGGATACACACACCTACCTACAAGCAGAATTGCTGGGGCAAAGAGTAGGCAAATGTTTCACTTCAGTAGATCGTTTTCCAGAGTGCTTGGAAACATTTCACCTCCGCTCCCACTAGTTTTTGAACATATCACAAAGGAGCTTCTCCATTGGAGTATTCCCTATGGTCTTGCGGAAAAAGAGCAGCTCGATGCGTTCCGCGGTGATAAACCTCAAAGACGGGAGAAGCAGCAGCAACTTCCCAAACCTGAACAGGAGAGAGGACACCATCAGTTTTACAACCAGCTTCTGAGCGCTAGTCCTTGGGGCAGTGCCCTCCCAGGAAAGGCAGTGGAGGAAGGAGAGAAGGGATAAGGTCTCTAGAGCAGGTCAGGAGGAATTTCAAGGAAAAGCTGCATTCACCAAAAGAGTTGCCTTCACCTACCACGACCCATTGTGAGCCGCCACCCCCCATTTAGTTTAGGAATGCAATGAAAATAATGAGTAAATATTGTTTATATGTAAAGATTATAAAGTGAAATTTATATTAACTTTATACAGATGGTTTGACTTTATCATGGTGTGAAAATGATAAGCATTCAGTATGCTCATTAAGATGGGTTATGTATGAAAATTCATCTTTACCTTACAGTAGCTTCAACTTAACAATGGGTTTATCAAGACTAACCCCATCATAAGTCAAGGAGCACCTGTATATGAACATATTATTATTAATCATATATATGAGTATTATGATAATCATGTTATTTATTCTTTATCGGTAAGATTATGTTTATAAGAATACAAATTCCTGCCTGTAAACCTCCTAGGATGATGATAGCCATTACTGAAAATGTCCTGAAGTCGACGGATAATTTTGGTGACTGAGACAGTCATTGAGAAACATGTTTATTGTTTTAAATAAGAATTATTTGCTAAGACAGGAGTCTGCAACCCAAAAGATGGATGGTGAAGCCCCAAGAGACAGATGGGGGAACCAAACCTTTCCTGGGTAGGTCTGATGGCCGAGCAGCAAGGAGGCTCCTCCACATCCGGCAGCCCCATGCTCCACTCACCGTGAATTTCGGGGAGGGCTTGCCCACCACCCAGTGATCTGCTGGACTTTCTTTGCCAATCTAAGGCCTTCCTTTCTCTTGCTAGTGCCAAGTGAGCAGCCCTGAGCAAGTCATATCCGTACTCTTCCCATCTGCCTTCCCTGCTTCTGTTTTTCTGATCTAAAGAGTGGGAGGAAGAAGAAATAACTATAATGTCAGAGAATGTTTTTCCAAACTGCAGGTATTGCCCCGCTTTGTGGGTCTGAAATTAAATTCAATAGGTCACAATTAGCCTTTTCTAAAAAAATAAAAATAAAAGAGAACTATCAGGTAAATTGCACAAAATAAGGGTAGGAATTACTTGGTGGAACTTCGCTTCGGTGTCTCTTTGAATATCAGGTGGCGATGGTAATTGTGTTTCTTCCTGGGTGTTGCAGTTTTTAAAAATGGAAATATGCTGGATTGGAGAACCCCAAACCATTATTTTCACACTCAGTTCTGCTTGTCGTAGGCAATGAGCTGCTATAGAAGGGACATAGGAAACCTTAATCAGCATTTTGAAATTTGATGCAAAATCACTATGCCAGGACATCTCTGGGGAGCTGGTTCCAACAGAAAGTTGGCCAAGAAAGGCCACCGGTTTCTGAACGTCTCTGGTGCCCACTCTTCCGATGCTAAGTCAAGTCTTTATGACTAAGACTTCCTGTGCTCATAAGCAGCACAAATCTTCCTGTGCTCTATGGCATATACTTCGTTGCTTTTCTTTTTTGTTGTTGTTTGAGATGGAGTCTCACTCTGTCACCAGGCTGGAGAGCAGTTTCACGATCTTGGCTCACTGCAGCCTCCGCGTCCCAGGTTCAAGCAATTCTCCTTCCTCACCCTACTGAGTGGCTGGGATTACAGGCGCACACCACCACGCCCAGCTAAGTTTTGTATTTTTAGTAGAGACGGGGTTTTTACCATGTTGGCCAGGATGCTCTCAATCTCTTGATCTCGTGATCTGCCCACCTTGGCGTCCCAATGTGCTGGAATCACAGGTGTGAGCCACCACACCTTGCCTACTGTGGCTTTTCCTAAAAGGAAATTATCTTTTCTCCTTGTAGTCATTTCTTGGATTAGAGGTGATGCAAGGATGCCCATATTAGCTCACTTCTTCAGAAAGAACGGCTGGGAGCCCCAAAGAATGCAGATAACATGGTGTAAAATAACCAATAGATGGCTGAAGGCCAAGCGTTCCAACCTTGCCTGGGATCTATGACATCTGCCGCTGCTGGGCCAATCAGGGTAGTCCAGAGCACTGGCTCCCACCCCACCCTCGCCCAGCCATGCTCAGCCTGCAGCAACTCTCCCCCAAACCTAGCCGGGGCCATCCACGTGCTTGGCATATGTGAGTGCCTCTCTACAGGATGCTCACCGCACCTCCGAAACACCTTATCATCTTTCCTCAAAACTGTCTTTCTTCCTGGCTTTCATTTTTATTTTTTGAATAACTTCTTCCAAAGAGCTCCTCTTCCCTCCTTCCTTACCGTCACCCAAACACCCGGTCTGACCCATTCCAACTCCTAGCGTCTCCCTTCCACTCCCCCTGGCAATACCCAAAGATTAGAACTCCATGGAACCACCTGGAAGGTGGCAGTAGCTGCCATCCTTTTCCCAGTATCCTCCGTACCCATGGCCATGCCAATCTGCATGAGGTCCGGCCCCGTGTATGACACTCTTCTGCTCCAAAACCTGCAGTAGCTGCCCTCTGCCTCCCAAGTCAGATATGGCCTTTAGCTGGCATTCAAAGTCATGAACAGGCTGGTCCTGGGGTACTTTTCTGGCTTATTCTCCCCATTTCTCGCTGGTAGGAACCTGTTAATACCTTCAAGGTGGGCTCCTGTCCTGATAACATATCATGCTTTCCCCTTTCCCCCTTTGCAAATGAGGTTTGCTTTTAGACTTCTCCTTCCTTTCAAGTCCAGCCCTGTCTCCTCAAAGTCCCTCCCAATCCTGCTTTAGGCTTCTCATGCTGAGGGGTCTCTGTCTCCTGAAGATTCGTGCAACCCTCAGTGCCTGGCTAGGGCAGTTTTCGTCTTCAGTGCAGTCCCTGTGCCAGCTGTCTCTGGAAGGCAGTAGCTGTATCTTATGCTCATCTTGGTCCCCACTCCCCAGCCCTGGCACTGTGCCTGGGACACAGCAGATATTGGCTGCGTGCTGTTGAACTGAGACCCTTGTGCTGTCTAAGCAGTGAGCGCTGGGAGGGCATGGGAGAGGCAGGGGAAGGGTGAAGAGGGCAGGGACAGACGAGCGGGTGGGCAGGTGCCCAGGTCACCTCACGGGCTGGCTGGGGTGATGGGCCTTGCTGTGCTGGCTTAGCATCACCTGGGACTGGTCCTGCAAGGCCTCCACGTGCTCAGGATCCTTCAGGCCCCGCGTCTCTGGGGAGAAGCAGCACCAGTGAGCTTAGCACAGGTTTCGGCTGTTACAAGGCTGGCCATGAAGTGGTGGCCCAGGGCTCTGGCTGCAGACATGGGTGTGGGGCCCTATGGGCTGGGCCCTGCCGGGTCCAGGAAAACTGCCAGGAGCTCCATCGGGGGCTTCCAGCCTGCCCTGTCCCCTCACACTCAGCCAGGAGGGTACCCGAGGAGAAGGGAGTCCAGCCCTACCGCTCTCCTCCCATCCCCCAGGATAGAGGCCTGCGCACATCTACACACATGTGGGTGGTGGAGGGAGAGTGAGAGGCAGAGGGAAGTCACTAGCATTCCCATTCAAAGCTTGGGCAAAGACTCAGCTACCCGGCTTGAAGAGGACGAGGGCCTTCATGCAGGCGAACTCTGTGGGGTCCACTGCCAACGCCCGGAAGCGAGAGATAGTTTCCTGCAGGATGCGTGTCTCCATGCTGGCCAGGGTGAGCCGGCCCTGGGCACCACCAGCAGCAGAGGCCTCAGGCGGTGCCAGCAGAGGACAGCTGTCCAGAGGCAGAGACCACTGGATGGCCCCGAGGAGGAAGAGTTCACTCCATGCCTCTTCCAGCAGGATCACCTGTGCCCAGAAAGAGGGTGCCCGTTATGGCGCATACACAGCTTCTCTGGCTCAGTCTGGAGCCTCTGCCACCATCTCAGGCACCCCAGGAATGAAAGCGCTGTCCTGGGAGCTGAGAATGCTCTCCTGACATCAGCCAGGGGCCCAGAGCTCTGGGATTTGGTACCATTTGGCTCAGCTGCTTACCCTCCGAGGCTCACTGGGACATTTAGAAACAACCAGAGCCATGGTAAGCTGGGCAGCCTTCGGGACATGCCCCATGAGTGTCCTAAGTTGAGTGTATTCAACAGACATGGCCTGATTCTTCTGAGCTGCTCCATCTCAGCACACAGACTGGCTGAGGGGCTCAGACCCTCCTTGTGCCGTTCCTGGTTTTTCTCAAAGGTCTGATTGCCCATTAGAAGCCGAGAGGGGTGGCCCAGAACTGGAGAGATTGGAGTAAAATGCAAGCCCTGAAGTCATAGGCCCTTGTGCTCCAAGGGGGCCTAGAGTCAGCCAATCGGGTTGTTCAGGGTGTGCAGGTCACGTGTCACCCACAGAATGTCAGGTCTCAGGGTCTTCCAGGACTTAAGAAGACCCTGGGAGCCATAGGCACTGCCTTCAAATCCCTGGTCCCTGTGGGTCCCCAACCATCATCATCTCCTAGGTGTGCACCCCATCATCCCTGCCCGGAGATGCAAGCTCCCCCACCGTCACCATCCCTGAGATGCACTCCTGGCCGTTGCTGACTCAGATGTGTGTCCCCGGCTACTCCCATCCAAGCTGTGTGTACTTCCATTCATACTGGCATGGGGATGTGCCTGCCCCGTCTGGTTGACTCGAGTGGACCGCCTGACCCCAGCTCAGCCTAGCTCCCCAGCAGGCAGGCCGGATGGTACCTGATCCCGGAAGGGCAGGCTGGAGAACACGGGCAGGTTCTTGGCCCACTTGACGGACATGAAGAGCAGGCGAGCCGACGTCTCATGGATGCTGTCCAGGCCACAGGGGGAGGAGGAGGAGAATGGAGAGGAGGGGAACTCAGGGTCATTGCTGGTGACATCGATGTTCTCATCAGCTGTTGGAGGAGGAGATTGTGACCTTAGCACCTGCTTCTTGGGAGGTGACAGGGAATGCTTAGGGCCCCGGGAGAGTGAGGATCAAAGTGAGGTGCTGCAGCCCTGCTGTGACCCGGGAACCCAAGCCCTGCTGCACCCCCAGCCGCTCTCCACTTACCATCCTCTGGCTCCAGCTTAGCACAGGTCTCGGCTGTTATAAGGCTGGCCATGAAGTGGTGGCCCAGGGCTCTGGCTGCAGTCATGGGCATGGGGCCCCGCGGGCTGGGCCCTGCCGGGGCTGGGGGAGCCACCAGGGGCTCCGGCTGGGGCTCAGAGTTGGACTCCATGCTGTCCAAGCGGACCTGGGTTGTGCTTCGGGGCTGGCGCTCGTTCTGCACGGCTGGGGAGGCAGAAAGGGTCAGGACCATACTCCAGACCCGCTGCCCATCTCTTGCCATGTCCCCCCTGGGTCAGCCCTCTGCCTCACCATCCTGGTTCATGCCCGCCTGCAGGCACTTCTTCAGCCGGCAGGCCTGGCACTGGTTGCGATGGGCCTTGTCCACGGGGCACATCCCTGCCCCCACCTGGCACCTGCAGGCAAAGGGGAGACCCCGGGGGTCAGCGTCCCTCCCAGGCCCTCAACCATGGGTTTGGACATTTTTACCCAAGCCACTCCTCCTCTGAACGCTTGCTCACCCCTCCAGAACCCCTCAGGGGCAGAAGCCCAGCAGGGCCCACGCCCTCACCTGTAGATGAGCCTCCGCCGCACGCTCCTCTTGAAGAAACCGCTGCAGCCATTGCAGGCGTAGATGCCATAGTGCTTCCCGCTGCTGCTGTCTCCGCACACGCGGCACTGGAGCGAGGGGCCCACGCCTGAGGGGCAGGGGCAGGGCTGGGCCAGGGCAGGGCCACACGCTCCCCTCGTGCCACAGGTCCCTTGCCCAGTCCTCAGGCCCCGCCCGCCCTTATTTGAACCCACCGAAGTGGGTCTCCCGTCCGAAGTGTCTCCTTCCTGGTACATCTACATACACCCCAGCTCTCACCGTCATTCCCTGACCTTCCTCCTCCCTCCGTGGCCAGTTTTCAGCGAGAGTCCAAGCCCTGGCTCCACATCCCCAGCTCCCATTCCTTCTCTGTGGGTGGCATCAGGCTCCATCGTCCCACAGAAACCTTCTTGTCAACACCACGAGGCACCTCTGTGCTGTGAAGCCCTAAGAGACTCCTCTGTTCTTTCCTGTCCCACCCGCCGGGCCGTCCTGTCCTGTCCTGTCCTGGCTCTGCAGCCCACCTGCCCCGCCCCCCATCCCCGTTGCGCTGTGTTTCTAGGATTCTGGGTTTGCCGGCAGGCTACCCCACCCTTGCCCACAGCCGCTGGGGCTGGGTCTGACTCGCTCTGGCCCTCATCCAGCTTCCCAAGGGCCCAGACCTGACCCCCGACCTCCAGGAGAAGCCATACCTGTTGGATCCTCCCCCAGGCCCCACCTGCCTGGAGACTCCTTCCTGGAGGCAGCCCCAGCCGCAGGGGCAGCTGCAGCCACGGTGGAGCTCATCGGAGCGGGCCTGGTCTCAGGGTTTTCCTGCGGGAGACCTGGGTGGCTGAGCCGAGCCCAGCCTCTGCCTCAGTCCATGAAGCTCTGTCTCTCTGTGCCTGCGTCTCTCTTCTCTCTCTGCTCCTCCTTCTCCCTGGCCCTGGCAGCACCCTCTGCCTTTGTCTCTCTCCTGTCTCTGTCTCTCTCTGTGGGTCTCCGCCTCTCCTCTCTGTCTCTCTGCCTGAACTCTGTCTGAACTCAGGGGCTGGCCCCAGGTCCCGAAGCCCCTCACAGCAGAGGCTCTGGCTTGAGGAGATTTCTCCCGGGGCAGCCGCTGGACGCAGTTTATGATCCTCTTAATCTTTACTGTCTCCACAGGGGATCAGCCGGCCACACCTGCAGCCTTACCAAGGTGCCCGGGAGCCGGTGCCTCCCGCTACCCCATGCCGGTTCCTGGGCTACCCAAGGTCCCCAGGGCCCTCCTACCCTGTGTGCTCAGCTGTTCACCAACCTGTGCCACGTCTCCAACAGGGGTGTGAACTCCACTTCCCCCAAGGACTTTGTTTTTTTTTTGAGACAGAATCTTGCTTTGTCGCCCAGGCTGGAGTGCAATGGCCTGATCTCAGCTCACTGCAACCTCTGCCTCCCAGGTTCAAGCGATTCTCCTGCCTCAGGCTCCCTTGTAGCTGGTTACAGGTTAGCACCACCACGCCTGGCTAATTTTTGTATCTTTGCTAGAGACGGGGTCTCACCATGTTGGCCAGGATGGTCTCAATTTCCTGACCTCAGGCGATCCGTCCACCTTGGCCTCCCAAAGTGCTGGGATTACAGGTGTGAGCCACCGTGCCCGGTGTCTCTCTCTCTGTTTTTTTTTTTTTTTTTTTTTTTTTTGGAGATGGGAGTTTTGCTCTGTGGCCCAGGCTGGAGTGCAGTGGTTCGATCCTCGTTCACTGCAACCTCCGCCTCCCAGGTTCAAGCAATTCTTCTGCCTCACCCTTCTGAGTAGCTGGGCCTGCCATCAGCCTGGCTAATTGTTTAGTAGAGACAGGGTTTTACCAAGTTGGCCAGGCTGGTCTGGAACTCCTGACCTCAAGTGATCTGCCCACCTCCGTCTCCCAAAGTGCTTGGATTACAGGTGTGAGTCACTGAGCCGGGCTGGACTTCAAACCTTTTGGAGCTGCTTGGCGTTCCTCCAGATGCGAGCGTGTGGCCTGTGTGTGTGCCGGTGCCTGTTCGGGTCCTACTGAGGTGCTCCCTTTGGGTCCTAGGTAGATCTGGCTCTGCCCCCCAAGTTCTCACTCCAGTGCCTTGGAAAGGGACTGCTTGGGGCTCACGATTTGAGGATCCAGCCCCCCTGGAAGGTTAGCAGTCCCCAGATGGCACAGAGTATGCTTCCAGAACTGGTCCCGTAGGGTCTGAGGCTGGCCTGGACCCAAGAGGCCCGAGATCCCACCTTGGAGCAAGCCCCAGGGCCCCACAGGGAGAGTGGAGAGAGCAGAGACAAACCCAGTTCAAGTCCCTTCTCCATCACGGGCCAGCCATGTGTCCCTGAGAAAGTGACTCGACCTGTCTGAACTTCAGCTCCTCGCCTGTAAAACGGGATGAGGGAAGCACCTGTCCTGTGGGGTATCTGGGAACTAAAGACGATGGTTCCGGAAGTACTCAGTGAGAACGTAATAAATGGTGCATGCGGTTGATCCTGCTATTCTTCTTGTGGTTATTGAGATGGTCACACTCAGCAGCCTTTTCTTGCCTGCTCCTCCACCCCCAGCCCCACTTGCCAGCCCCCTCCCTGCTCAGGACAGAGCTGAAAGCCCCTGTTGTCCCGGAGGGGACCGCTTGTCCCCAGCAGACCTGAGCTCGTCTCTGGGTGAGCTGGGGTTGGGGGGTGGTCCAGCCTCAGAGCCGGGGGGGAAAGGGAGAGAGCATGAAACTTCTAGAAGGATCATGCAGTTAAGGGGACAGGGGCGGGGCCTGGCCCTTCTGTAAATGGGGTTAACCTTCCCTGTGACAGAGAAGCACTATTGGGGATTTGGGAAGTCAGCTCGAGGGGCTTTGCGGGTAATCCGCTTTCTGGGGCCTCAGAAGATCGGGGCCACCGGGCTGTGTGCTCTCACCTGCCCTCCTCTCCTCCTTCCTCACCCCTCCCTTCCTCCTCTGCCAAAAAGCCCCTCAGGACAAGGTCTCCAGCTCCACCTAAGACGGAACCCAGGGCATCCTCTGTGAACTTGGCTGGCCACTCCCTCCTTCCAGAAGCTGCTCTTTCCCTTCTCTTCTGGAGCACGGGTCTCTGCTTTGAACTTGTCATGGCCTCCATGTACCCAGAGGCCGGTCCCAGCAGCCCTTCCCACCCTCTCCTCGGACAGCCTCACACACACTCACGGCCTCGGCGGCTCCTGCCTGCCCCACTGCCACAGCTTCCCCCAGTAGGCCCACCCGAGTTCCACTGTGGAGTCCAGCTCCACCCGCCCCAGACCAACCCACCCGCAGTTTGGGAGGCCGCCTGGAGCAAATGTGTGCAGGTTTGAAAATGCCTAAGGCTGAGACCAAGGATCTCAGACTCTGCTGGCCAGAGCCAAGGACAAACTGATGACAAAGGCACATCAGAGACAAATACAAAATTAGCCGGGCGTGGTGGCGCACGACTGTAATCTTAGCTACTCGGGAGACTGAGGCAGGAGAATCGCTTGGACCCAGGAGGCAGAGGCTGCAGTGAGTCGAGATGACGCCATTGCACTCCAGCCTGGGCAACAAGATGAAACTCCATCTCAAAAAAAAAAAAAAGGTGAGTTTCCTCTGAGATGGAAACTCAGGACAGCACTACGTTGTCGCGGGGGCCAGGGACTGGGAGGAATCAGTGATGGTGGCATCACCATGCAGGTGTTCCTTGTCATTCAGAAAGCTTGCACGCGGAGTCCTCACACAGATCCTTCAAACCTCACAGCAGCCCTGTAACGCACACTGGATCTGACCTTCCTAGCCTCAACTCACAGGTGAGGAGAAACGAAGTCAGAGAGGTTCAGTAACTTGCTTCAGGCAACACAGGCACTGATGGAGGAGGCTGGGGATGGAGTTGAGGATTTCGAACTGCACCTGGTCCCTCGTTCAGCTTTGCACCAAGACACCCTCCCAGAAGGGGCAGCTGCCTCCTTTGGTTTCAACAGCGGGAGGAGCTGGTGCCCTGGGAGGGAAGATGAATCTGGAGAGGGAGCGTGGCTGTGAGGGAAGAAGACAGGGCTGAGGGGTGGCAGGTAGGGTAACGTTAACGAAGGGTTTTTTTTTTCTCCCACAAATTGAGATAAAGAAAGATATTTTTGGAACACAGCTTCTTTTAAAATGGGAGCTACAGAGGAGCAAGAACCTGGGAGAGAGGTGGAGGCGGGTGCACCTCTGACCCTGTCCCTTGTCCAGCATCTCCGGAGAGACACCTGCAGGCCTGAGGGGGCGGCAGCTAGCAGGAGAGGAGGGGCAGCCTGCGGGGAGCCGGGGCTTCAGGGCAGGTCCTTCAGAGCCTGGCTGTGTGCCCTTGGGCAAGTTACTCTGCCTCTGAGTTTCATGCTCTCTGAAATGGGGAGGATGGTGTTCCATTGGGCAGCTGTGGTGGGATTAAAGGACATGAATTGAAGGGACAGGGCAGATGGAAGGGAGGAGGCGGGGCCAAAGCTGGTGGGGGCAGCAGGCGCAGGGGAGCGGCTGGGCAGTGCTGGCTTTGCCCCTCCTGCCCCATCTGCCCAGTCCTTGACCATCCCTGAAGGCCTGTCCTGGACTCACCTCCTCCAGGCTGCCCGCCCTGACTCCTCAGGCCGCCTGTGCTCTCCGGATGCATATGTCCTTAGGTTGCACCTCACTCCAGGTCAACTTTCTCTCCTCCATCCAGATGGAAGATTCCAGGGAACAGGCTTAGAGTCTCGGGTTAGCTGGGCATGAGGATCCCACGGCGCTTCATGGACAGAGAATCTGTTTTCAAACTTGTCTGTATCTTCCTATATGCTATAGTGGGAATGTATTACCTAAAATGGCAAAAACAAAACAAAGCAAAGCCACACAAGAAACCCAGTCCCATCGAAATCCCCCCTGCTGTGTTTGACCTGCCCATTTTCACGCTGTTTATTTTGACTGTATTCTGTCACTCCATCACTCGGATGCCAGCTAAAGTCCTCTCTGAGCCCGGCCCTGGGTTCTTCGGCAGGTCAGGCTGGCCAGAGCTGTGCCTTATGCACCATGCCAGGGGAAAGGAAGCCGAAGCCCAGCAGGGCCTGGTGGCTGGCGGGGGGGCCGGTCTCCCTGATCTGTGATCACCAGCTGCTGGGGCAGACGCCAAAGGATTACTCAGCCCAAAGCCCTGAATCTGCTGACTAAGCTGCCAGAGGCCACCTTATCACTAATACAATTATTCCCCAAGGGGACAGGTCAGCAACTTCCTCTGACTCCCAGGAGGCCTGAGCTGGGTGGGGGTGGAGTGAGAAGGCGTGATAGAGCCTGCAGGACTGACCTTCCCCTGCACCCTCAGGCCCTGGCAAGGAACCCTCTGCCCTGGCCTCTCTAGGGACAGCGACTCTTCGGTCTGCTTGTTTGGGGCAAGACTCAGTTGCAATACTGGGTCCCGGGAATAGGTCTTCCTCCAGGATTTCTTTTCTTTTTTCTTTATTTCTTTCTTTTTCTTTCTTTTTTTTTTTTTTGAGACGGAATCTTGCTCTGTTGCTTAGGCTGGAGTGCAGTGATGAGATCTCAGCTCACTGCAACCTCTGCCTCCCGAGTTAAAGCAATTCTCCTGCCTCAGCCTCCAGAATAGCTGGGATTGCAGGCATCTGCCACTATGCCCGGCTAATTTTTCTATTTTTAGTAGAGATGGGGTTTTACCATGTTGGCCAGGCTGATTTTGAACTTCTGGCCTCAGGTGATCCACCCACCTTGGCCTCCCAAAGTGCTGGGATTACAGGTGTGAGGCACTGTGCCCGGCCCTAGGAATTTTCCTCCCTCCCTCTCTCCTTTTCTTTCTTTCTTCCTTCCTTCCTTCCCTCTCTTGTTCTTTCTCTGTTTTTGAGAGAGGGTCTTAATGTACGTAAGACAGAGTTCAGTGATGAGATCACAGCTCACTGCAGCCTCAATCTCCTGGGCTCAAGCAGTCCTCCCGCCTCAGCCTCCTTAGCTGGGCCTACTGGTGCACACCACCATGCCTAGCTAACTTTTATAATTTTTCATAGAGACGGGGGTTCCCTATCTTGCCCTGTCTGGTCTTGAACTCCTGGGCTTAAGTGATCCTCCCGCCTCAGCCTCCCAAAGTCACTACGCCTGGCCCAGGATTGATTTCTTAAACAGTCACCCACCCCCACAAATTCCTGTCCACCCCCCCCGAATTCCTGCCCGCCCCCCACCCCTAAGTGTCTTCACCTTGTTCAAAGAATAGCTGTGGTGAGCGCACAGGCCCTGGAGCTGAGGACTCAGCCATTCACTCCAGAAAACTATCCCTTGGAAAATTTCACAGAGATTTAATTGTCTGAATGCGCCCTGCAGCAATTTTGTAGACAACTGGCTAAGTAAGCCATACTCCCTCGGTACTGTGGAATGCCAGGCAGCCACTGCCACTAGTGGTGTTCCTGTATTCCTTTACGTGGACATATGCCCACAACGTCTCAACTTCAAAGCTACTAACAAAACAAACTTGGATAGTTCGATTTCATGTGGCCCAGGGGAATTTCTGGCTGAAGATCATGGGACGCCTTTCTCCTTGGCAGGACCTAAATGAATGAAAGGTTTCTCTTTCTAGAGCAGAGGCGGAAGGTGTGGGGCTCGGGGAGGCAGACACCAGCGGGAATGTTTCTCAACAAAGCCTCTTTCTTTACCTTTCAAGATAACATTTAGAAATGATCAGATATTCCCCTGCAGTTTCCCCAGCCCTTGGCTAGCAAAGTCTTTTTACCCTTGAACTCTTGAAGGCCTGAGCAGAGATGGCGGGGGCCCTGCCCATCCTGGGATAGGCAGGCAAAAAGCAGCCCTTCTGGAACCTGCACCATCTGCTGCTCCACCCTGGGTCACCCCTCCCTCCTTTGTACCTGGGATGACTGATGGGGATGACTCCAGGTTAGCTTGGCCTGGCTCCCGGGCACCATGAGAGGCGGGCGGTCTCAGTTCTGCAGCAGAGCGGTCACCAGACACCACCGCAGACATTCTTCCTACAGGCAGATATTTCTGTTTCACGGGAATGTTTAATAACATACATGTATTACAGCTCTATTGTGGATAAAATAAAATTCTTTGTATTTTTTTTTTTTTTTTTTTTTTGAGACGGAGTTTCCCTCTTGCTGCCCAGGCTGGAGTGCAATGGCGCGATCTCGGCTCACCGCAACCTCCGCCTCCTGGGTTCAGGCAATTCTCCTGCCTCAGCCTCCTGAGTAGCTGGGATTACAGGCACGCGCCACCATGCCCAGCTAATTTTTTGTATTTTTAGTAGAGATGGGGTTTCACCATGTTGACCAGGATGGTCTCGATCTCTCGACCTCGTGATCCACCCGCCTCGGCCTTCCAAAGTGCTGGGATTACAGGCTTGAGCCACCGCGCCCAGCCAAATTCTTTGTATTTTTTAAAAAAGAATGGCTAATTTGAAACCAATATTACCTATAATAATGATAGCAAATATTGATAAAGAAATTCAGTGTTTGTGTGAAAATGAAAAGCTTGCCATGCTTTTATCTTCTCTTCCTCTTCACCCAGGGGGAGGACCCAGATGTCTAGCAGCTGCTCAGGCCTCAGCCTCGGCTGCTTGGACCAGCTGCAGCCCCCAGCACAGCGGGCCTGCCTTCCACCTGCTGCACAGGTATAAACCCTTTAGTTGCCGGGCCATGGACAGATCTGGAGAACCTGGGAGGGGCCAGGACACCAGGGGCAGCGACCCTCCACGCAGCCTCCAAGGTAGCTGGGACCACCGCTGTGCACTGTGTACTTCTGTGGACGTTTGGAATTATTTTGAGGATAAAATGTTTAAAAACCAACATGTACAACTAGAATATAGTAACGGGTTATTTAGTTTGTTATGACAATGGTCTTGTGGATATGCTTAATTAAGAAATAATCCTGCTAGAGATATACTCAGGCATTTACAGGAGAAATGAGTTAATGTCTTGGGTTTGCTTTTAAAGACTTTGGTGAAAGTTTTTGTTTTTCAATGAATGAATGAAACGAGGGAGTAGAACTGAGGACTAAAGTTGGTGGTGGTTGATGTGGGTAACGGGCACATGGGGGTCAAGGACGTTTTCTCCCTCCTTGTGTCTGTGATTGAAATTTTACATAATAGAGAGTTTAAAACACGTATACACATACCAGCCGCCTAGGTGAACAACGAAACAAGAGATGCGAGTGATGACTTTGGACTCACCTCTCGCCTGCCTGGCTTCCACCCTCTTCATTCTAGTCTGTCTTCACTGCCCGTCTTTACCTTTTCTTGCAGCTTTGGAGAAACGAAACTGAACCGGGTGACTCGGGGGCGGGGGAACAGGCGGGCCAGGCCCGCACACCAGCGCCCCCTCCTGGAAGGAGAAAAGCGCAGCGCTTGGGGCGGCGCCAGGCTGCGCTTCCTCTCACCTCCAGTGCTTCGCGCCAGTCTACACCCGGGGCTGGCTGGGCTCGGAATGTCCTTTCCCGTCTTCTCCATCGGACGCCTCCTCACACTTCAAGACTGGCTCCAAGGTCTCTCCTGAGAGCAGACGCTCCATCATGGCTCCCCCCATCCCAGGCCTATCAGAAACGATCTTACTCCTTGCTGGTGATCACCAGTCTCCTCCCATCCGCACGGAAGCTTCATGTCGATCCTGTGTAAAGGCTCGATTTGACACGTACGAGGAGCCTGATAATTATTTGTTCAGCGCCTAAGCGGACGGAAGCCAGCCCCGGTCCCGGCAGCCTGCGGCCTCTGCTCTCTGCCCTGCCCGAGGCGCGGCGGGCACCTCTCGGGCATCCTCCCGGGAGCGGTTCCAAGCCCTCGCGGGCCCGCACACCCTCGGCCTCTGGGGCCGTTCATTCTACCATGAGAGGTTTAAAATGTATTTTAATAAAAGGCATTTACCTGGCCACAACCGAAACGGGTCGAAGCAATGAGCTACTCGGTCCCAGGCCTTTCCAGGGCGCCCCAAGAATGTCCCATTACCCAGAGAAGCAGCCGCCCCGGGGATGAGACAGTGGTGTCCCCGGCGTGCTGGGTGAAGGTGCTGGGAAGCGTGGGTCCCTCCGCGGTCTCTGCCGGGACTCCTCTGCTTTCGTCTTTTTCGTAATTGGACGGATTGTTTTTGAAGTTTTTTTCCTCTCCCTAGAGAGTGACAAGTGGTTGCAGGAGCCTCAGGTATGAGACTGTGCGTCATTAGCTGGGTGGCCTCGGCCAAGTCTCTTCACCTCTCTGGACTGTTACCGTGAGGAAGTCGTGGAGCTATGAGGCGACCTTCACGTCTGGGCGAAGGCAGAGGACGGAATCGAAGTACCTCTCCAGTTCTCGCCCAGATCTGATCGATTGTACCCAGAATCACAAAATAGCAGGTAGTTGGATCCACTTGTAATACCCTGAAAGGCCACAAGAAAGCAGTGTTACTCCACGAGAAAAGTGTGGCCTGCTCTGCACCATTTCATTTCCCAATTTCTAGCATAAAGGACTTGAGAATTTCTTCTTTGGAATTGCAGCAAGTAAACACTTCACCAATACTCCCTTGCATTTCCAGGCAGAGGATTTAAGCTCTTACTAAAGAACCCCAGCCGTTCCCTACAGCGTTTCATGCACAACTTTGCTTTATTCTCTCGAAGCACCGTAGAGGGGCTGAGCGACTGTCAGGAGACCATTGTCTAACGCGGAGGTGGCATTCCCGCCCCCTGGGAGTACCGCTCCATTGTGTCCCGATACAATGGCTCGTGTGTGTCAGAGCTCTTGAGATATGGCAAACACCCAGAAAACAGATGCTGAGTGGAGTGGATGTTGGATTTGTTGAACTTAATCACAGTTGGCATTAAAATATACTGTGTCCTCTACAGAGGGATTCCCGTGTTCCCACAGGAACTGTTGAGATGAGTGGAAAGGCTGGAGACAGACGCTTTGTCTATGATTGGTTTCCTGTATTCTAGAAGTGTTTGCCTCAAGGCCCAGATTCTCAGGATTTGGGGAGCAGTGAGCAGGAAGGGCACTGACTGAGTCAGGCGTGGAAGCAAGCCTCAGGTGAATCCTGGTAACCTACCACGGATGAGGGTCTCGCCATAGAAAGATGCGATTCTGCACGCAGACCTGCTTGGTCAGGAACCCCTGTCACGGTACACTTGGCTGGTAGGAAAAGCAACCGGATTAGGCAAACCTGGCCCAGGCAGGCAGGATGTGTCGTAAGCAGTAGACGCTAGGAATGGAGGCAGGGTGACGTGGAGGAGCCAGGGGTGTCCACTTCTCGTGGCCCTGCCAGTCAGGGGAGCTGTAAAGGTACCTGGAGGAGGTGGTACAGAGCTGATGACTGGGGTCACCTGGCAGAGGGTGGGAGTGACGATCAAGAGTGCATGGCCAGGCGTGGTGGCGCACACCTGTAATCCCAACACTTTGGGAGGCCGAGGCAGGAGGATCACCTGAGGTCAGGAGTTCGAGACCATCCTGGCCAACATGGCAAAACCCTGTCTCTACTAAAAATACAAAAATTAGCCGGGTGTGGTGATGGGCACCTGTAATCCCAGCTGCACGGAGAGGTGAAGCAGGAGAATCACTTGAACCTGGGAGGTGGAGGTTGCCGTGAGCCCAGATCATGCCACTGCACTCCAGCCTGGGTGACAAGACAGAAACTCCATCTCAAACAAACAAACATGAAAGAAAAGAAGAGTGCGTGGCTGGGTGTGGTGGTTCATGCCTGTAATCCCAGCACTTTGGGAGGCTGAGGCAGGCGGGATCGCTTGAGCCCAGGAGTGTGAATCAATCCTGGGCAACAAAATGAGATCCTTTCTTTACAACAACAAAAACCCATAACAACAAAAACAACAGTGAGCCGAGTGTGGTGGTGCCCAACTGTAGTTTCAGCTACTTGGGAGGCCAAGGCAGGAGGATTGCTCGAACCTTGGGAAACTGAGGCTACAGTAAGCTGGGATTGCACCACAGCCTGGGTAACAGAGCAAGACGCTGTGTCAAAAAAAAAAGAAAAGGAAAGAAGGCAGGAAGAAAGGAAGGAAGGAAGGAGAGAGCGTGTATGCCCTGAGCCCGAGAGCCAGAAAACTCGTTTGGACACAACCCTGCGTGCTGTTCCTGCGGTGTGCTGACCACCAGCATAAAAGAACCGGAACCCTGGCTGGACCATCCTGTCAGGGCCTGTGCATGGAGGAGCACTGGTGACCACCATGAATGGCCTGGGCAGGTCACAACTAGCTGTTTGATACCTTGATGGCCTGCGGCAGCCAAGCAGTGCTCAGCCCTTCCTGAGTGGGTGGCTGGAGGTGGAGCACCAGAAAGGCGGCTGTGAATCGCCCCAGGCAGCACGCTGTTGGTTAGTTATTCCAGTGTTGTGTGCACTTGAGTAATGCTCAGGTAACTTTTAAGGGAAAATAATTATTTCACTGCCCTCCAATGTTGAATTTAATAACGTTTAATTATAATATTATGGGTATAAAACTAAGTAGAAGGGGTACACGTAACTGTATAATCAAAATGAAATTGCTGATTAAATCCAAACACAACTTCAAAACACAGAGGTAAAACCAAGAACTTTGGTAAGATGGAGAATGCTTTGCTGAAACCCAACTGCTCCTTATGGCACAGATGTAGGAACTTATCAGATGGTGCAAGTTCTCATGGGCTAGGCGGGTAATAACAATGAACTCGAAATTAAGAAATAAAGCTAATTCTTCCCATATTAGCTCAGCTCGCTGCATTTAAAGCAATACTACCTGAGTCTGCTGCTGGAATTAAATGTGGTGTTGAGATAGGAGGTAATAAAGACATAAATGAGGAAACTCTACGTGATGGTCAGGCATGATATGCTGTGATTCCAGTACTTTGGGAGGCTGAGGCAGGAGGATTGCTTGAGCCCAGGAGTTTGAGACTAGCCAGGACAACATAAGAAGACCTTGTCTCTATGACGAAAAAAAAAAAAAAATTAGCTGGGCGTGGTGGCACGTGCCTGTGGTCCCAGCTACTCGGGAAGCCGAGGTGGGAGGATCGCTTGAGACCCAGAGGTGGAGGCTGCAGTGAGCTGTGATCTTGCTGCTGTACCTCACTGCAGCCGCTCCAGCCGGGATGAGGTGGTGAGACCCTGTCTCAAAAACAAAAACAAAGCAAAGCAGAAAACATGGATAAGGAGTGGAATATATGTTCCGCTCCTAAAAACACAGAATAAGGCCAGGCACGGTGGCTCATGCCTGTAATCCCAGCACTTCAGAAGTCTGAGGCGGGCGGATCACCTGAGGTCGGGAGTTCGAGTTCAGCCTAACCAATATGCAGAAACCCCGTCTCTACTTAAAATTAAAAATTAGCTGGGCATGGTGGCGCATGCCTGTAATCCCAGCTACTCAGGAGGCTGAGGCAGGAGAATCGCTTGAACCTGGGAGGCGGAGGTTGTGGTGAGCCGAGATCGCGCCATTACACTCCAGCCTGGGCAACTAGGGTGAACCTCTGTTTTTTTTTTTTTTTTTTTTTTTTTTTTTTTTTTTTAATTCTCATGGAAAACTTGAGACTCCTGAAGAATACCGTTTTATTAAATTCTCTCCCCAGGAATGGGATTGTTAAGTGAAAGGCTATATTCAGCTTCACGGCTTTACCCTCCAATGCTAATGGTTTAACCCAGGAAAATAGGTGATTTGTACACAGCCAAAGCAGCTGCACGAATCCACAGCTGACACCAGACTGCTGGCCTCAGTCGAAGCCTGTTGCTGCTCTGCCCAAATCCCTTACCGGCCGCTAATCTCACTCAGAGTGAACCCCGAGTCTTTCCCTGGACCCCAAGTCATCTGACTACGCCTCCTCCCCTGCTTCCCCTTGTCCTCCCAGATCCTGAACACCCCGTCCACGCCCCGGCTGCCACTTTTGCACATTTCTCTGCCCTATCAGGGACACCCCTACCCAGGCATCCACGTGGCTGGCTTGTTCCGCCCCCACTAACCATCCTAGTTCAAACTGCAGGTCCAACCCTGTCTCTGCCTCTCCTTATCCATGTTTGCCGCTTTGCTTTTTGTTTTTGTGACGGGGTCTCACCACCTCATCCCGGCTGGAGCGGCTGCAGTGTAGTAGCAAGATCACAGCTCACTGCAGCCTCCACCTCCGGGTCTCAAGCGATCCTCCCACCTCGGCTTCCCGAGTAGCTGGGACCACAGGCATGTGCCACCATGCCCGGCTAATTTTTTCTTTTTTTTTTTTTTTTCTGATAGAGACAAGGTCTTCTTATGTTGTCCTCGATAGACTCAAACTCCTGGGCTCAAGTGATCCCCCCGCCTCAGCCTCCCAAAGTGCTGGAATCACAGCATATCATGCCTGACCATTACGTAGAGTTTCCTCATTTATGTGTTTATTTTCTGTCTCCCTCTTTAGGGTGGAGGCTCCCTGGGGACAGTCTTATGCCACCTGGTTTACTGCTACATATTCAGTGACTAGCACAGTGTCAGGCACAGGGTAGATGCTCAATTAATATTTGTTGAATAAATGAATGAGTGAGAGTCGGGAGGCATAGAGGCAGTTGAGATACAGTGAATCCCAAGGGAGAGTAGCTGAGTTCTGAGGCAAACAGGACTCAGAGTTGGGAGCAGGCTGATGTAGACTCATATCCCTTCCCTTGAATCTGGGCGGGCCTATGGTTGGCTTTGACCAATAGAACAAAATGGAAGTATCGTCTGAATGATTGATACAACACGTACGAGGTCAGCGTCTCACAGCTCCCACCACACGATCCTCCTCACAACCTTCTATCAACAGAAAGAGCCTGAATCACTCTTGACTTGCCTTAAAATGGCCACAAAGAAAGCAGCAGTGCCTCTGGCTCTTCTCAATGGGGCCAAACTCGAGAATTAGCTTGCAGGACCCACACCTGGATGGAGAACCTGAGGATGGAAAGGGCTGGAGTCACCAAGAGTGACAGCTGCATTGCAATGGTGCTTCTCTCCTGCCTCTTGCCGCTACCAAGGCCCATTGGTGGCTTTCCAGTGTGCCTCCAGGACAGGCAGGGGACAGGGATGACTGCCCATCCCCAGGCTCAGCAGGCCCTCTGAGGTCACTGAGGTGGGCCGGGTGGTGGAGTGAGTGAGAAGTGTGAGCCTTTCCCTAGGTTACCGTGCCAGGGGTTCCCGATGCAGGAGGGGTACGTACGCCCAGGCCTGAGAGATCTGGCGGCTCTCCCTTCCTTCCTGTTGCGTATGCTGCATCCAGAGAGACCCGTGAAGAGGCCACACGGAGAGGGAGAAGCAGGGAACAGGGTGGCAGAGAGGCCCGAGGCTCCCTTGGCAAACCATTCCAACCATCTCAGTCTGAGTGTCATCAGACCTGCGTGAATAGCCGCCTGGACAGTCCAGCCCCGGCAGTTACCGGTGGGTGT